GCCACCGCAATCCGAGCGAGGCAACAGCGAGCACGAGGGGTCTTTGAGCCCGGTGGTACTTCCGGTACTGGACCATTGGACCAGCAGACGCAGGGTCAGTCTTCGGCTCCGGTAGTGCAGACGGGAAACGACGGTCCAGCAGCGACGGGCGGCCAAGACGGAGAGCCTCCTCGTGACGTCGATCTGAACCTCGACGATTACGAAATCACATTGTAGATTAGGTTTTTTTGTAAAAAATAATTTGTATTAAATTTTTTTTTTATTTATAAATTATTTTTGAATTTAAATTGTTTTTTCTATTTTTAATTTTTTATTATTTTCAAAATTCATTAATTAAATTAAAATCGAATTAAATATTTAATTTATAAATCGACGTAAATTCGTCGTAAATTTACGTCGATCTAACGTCGAATATTTAACGACGAATTTACGTCGAATAAGTTTACGTCGAATTTACGTCGAAAATTTACGACGATTTAACATCGACAATTAAAAAATTAGTTTCCCTTAATTGAAATTGTTCGTCTCCTAATCGTTGTTAAATCGATGTAATTTTACATCGATTTTACGTTGTTTTTATGTTGGAGTTTTTTCGTTGTACTTCCGTTGGAAATTTTACGTCGCATTTACGACGAATAGTTTCCGACGATTTTACGACGATTTTCCGGAGTTGGTAATTTTACGACGATTTTACGACGATTTTGGTTTTACGACGATCGTTTTACGACAAATTTTTTTTCGTCGTTAATTTGACGTAAATGCTGTTTTACGTCGATTTTACGTCGATATATGCCGACGTAAAATCCGATCTTTCTTGTAGTGTCATGAGTTTCGATGCGTAAAGCTCAATATATAATGAGGAAGCCATTTTGCAAACTTTTCATATTATCTATATTAGTGATTGTTACTGTTAAAAATTTTCCAATTAAAAAATAAAAATCTTATGAATCCATGATCTTAATCCATAAAAAGCGTATGTAAGAAAATTTATTCGTTCGTAGACTCATAGAGTATGCAAAATAAGAAAAGGTGAAAACAAAGTATTTTTTTTTCTTTTTCGGGGAAAGAGCATCGAATTGAAAGATTCGGTGGGGCGATAGCAGTAGGAAGGGTAGTAACCAGAAAAGTCACACACACCAAACTTTTGGACCGACCAAAACCTTCACTTCGTCCCAGGCTCAACAAACAAACAGACAAACAAACAAATATCAGTCTTGTTCCTTTTTAATTAGTATCTAAACTTATTTTAAAGAGAACGTTTTTAAATAAAAAAACAGTAATATTATCTTTAAAATAAATTTAGATACTAATTAAAAAAGAACAAGACTGATATTTTTTTTAAAGAGAACGTCCTTAAAGAAGAAAACAGTATTACTATCTTATGGTTCTATTTTTTTTTTTTTTCGACATGTGATATCTATTACTCTGAAAATTTTTAAATTTACTATTTTTCGTGAAATCGGAGTTTTAAGATATTATAAATATGTTTCGGGTTTAAGATTATTTATACATATAATCAATAGAAAGTTTAGACGGTTTTACCTCAATTGATTTCATGGATCCCGCTCTAACCTTATTATCGTTTCATGAATATTTTACATTAGTCAATTCTTATAATAGTTGAGCTGAATTCATCTTCCAATAGTCAAGCCGTCTACATATGCTTCCTGAAAAATTCACCACCGACGATATCAACAACACTCTCTTTTGTAAACTCAACCACTTTATAAATCCCAAAATTTGTCTCAAACAACATATACATGTATAGTGTCGATTAATAAATATTTATTTGAGTTCTTTAACAACTTGAATATTTATTTTCTTTCTGTTTTTTCATGATTTGGTGGATATTTCTTTCAAAATCCAGCTCTAATAGTTTCTGTGGTTTTCTTTTCATTTATTTCTTTGGTAAAGAGTAAAACTCAAAAAGTAAAAGTACTGAACTCTTAAGTGATTGCTATTGATGGCACATTGTTTAGACACAACTAAAAAACATCCATCCTAATCATAAGGATTCAAAATCTTGCATTGCAGGCAATTTAGTTTATCTATCTATAGCCACTTATGAAGGAGAAAACCAAGAAAAAAGCATTAAATTACTTGTAAGTTGTAAGACTTAAATTCACCGTGTCTAGAGGTCGAGGGTACCTCCGAATGTGTGATCAAAGAACAACGAACCTAATCATGTTCACATATTATAATACTAGAATAGTAATATTTAAAAAGCAATCGCAAGAATAATTATTTTGAGTCAATGAGCCGATTAGTCTACCGGTTGTCATGTGGATATATTGAGACAAACCGGTAAAAGATTTTTGAACTGAAAGAGATAATGTAAGAGATAACAGAAGAATTAGAAACAATACAAATAGATTAGATTTTGATTAAGCGTTAGATTATCATCCGCTAAAGGCATAGAGCTTTAAATCCTTTAACAAACAAAAAGGCATAGAGCTTTCTTCAATTGAAACGATTATCAAAACTTCATTACATGTACCTTAAAGCTACGTTAATGTTAATTATCACTCTTTGGATCCCTTTTACTTAAATTTAACATAAACGTGCCCCGCCCATACAAAAAAGGAATCTTCATGATTTTTCTGGTATTTATTTATAGATAGTATGAGCATATACACATTTCTGTTGTGTGAATACGACTAAAATAATACGAGTAACCGAAAGTCAATCTTAATATCACTCAGAACTGCAGAAGTCAAAAGTCAAATTTTAAATCAAAGGTTTCTACTACGGAAAATGTACAATTAAGTAAATATATGTGCATTACATGTCACTTAATCCTTTTTGTGTATGTAACTGTAATATTAAGAAGAGAAATCTAAAACATTTGTTTTTAAAATGACATCTTCAATCTTTTTTTTCAACTTCATGTCATCATCAATGTGTTAATACAAATACTTCTCAATGATGTTTGTAATTCTTAACTGAAAAAAATCTAAAGCTTAAAGTTTATTTTGTCGGTTGGAACATCTAGTATAGTCGATTGACAAACTAATGGAATAGTTTTTGTTTTAATAAGCACAATAAAAATATGATTGATAAACTAGTGGTATGAAGAACTTATAAAATATATTAAATGGAAACAATAAGATCAATAAGTGGAAAAGAAAAATTTGAAATTATAAAAAGTTGGAATTTTGTATGCCATTTCATAACTTGTACCAATGAATAAGTAGAATATGTTATCTAGACTGTATAAATGTCAAGCAAGATATGATGAAAACAAACGAATTTAGTGAAACAACAAAATTAAAAAAGAAAGAGGAAAATAGAGTAAATAAGGAGAAAAGTGGAGAAAGAGAGAAGACATGTGGAGATCACATGGGATACTCTGCGCATTAGTCTGCCCACCTCAAACTCCTAATCCATTGGTTCTGTAAATAATACACATTTACCCATCTTTGGCTCCCACATTTTTATCACCTAACCATTTGTCAATTTGCTTCATCTTTCTATTTTTAGAATTTGATTTATAGTCGTTTGGTCTTAAAAATGAAGTTATTCATTTCTAATTCATGACGTAAGCTTTCTTACTTAGAGAGTTAGAGGAAGGAAAAAGAACAAATGATAGAATCAGTAAATCTTTCTTACAACATATATATAATGTTTATACAACAAACAAAAAAACTTGAACTTTTTTCTCTTTCAAGTTTTGCTATCTCTTTAGTTTTTTTTCTTCATGGGATGGTGAGTCTTGCCACCTTTTGGTTACTAAAAATATAATATTATTCTTAGCAAAAAGAAAAACATTAACAAAATATAACCTCCAAAACACTTGAATGAATTCATATTTAGATACTTATTAAGCTAACAAATTAGACAGTCTTTAAATATTTGCTAACCCATATTACGCGTCGGTAATCTTCATAATCAATCTTCACATTTCAGAACAGTCGGTAACTTCTTTGGTTCTGATATCATATGATTATTCATAATGCATAAAATTGACTAAACTATATTTATTGAGTACATGTGTCTGCATTTGTGTGAGAGATGGAGCATATGGGAGAAAAATATCTAGAAATAGTAGCGCAAAGACCGATGAAGAAAAAGGAGATTGGGTAAAAACATAAGTAGAAAGTGAGACCCCATAGAAAGTTGATGTAAGTGTTTTCTGTTTGTCGTCAGTACTTATAACCAGAAAGGCTAATTCTTGACTTTTTCTCATCATTGTCATGTGCGTAGTCATATCAACCAATGAAGCTTCAAAAATATCTACCATGGAGCTTAAAAAATATCTACTAGTGGTTTATGGCCAGAAACAGCATTTACATTTCACCTTAAACCCTACTAAACCAATCTTCAATACTAGAAATCAGTTTGATTTGGTCTAGTTTAAAGCTTTGGTTATCTACTTTGAATTTTCTTAGTTCGATTTGTTTGTTAGTTTCTTTATGTTTAGAGTGAGAAGTCTTAGCCGGTTAATGTAGGATCATGAACTAAAACACAAACTAATCCATGGCAATATTAGAAGTTAATACATAGTGATTATGTTTTAACTTCGACTACAAACTAGTTTAGTACATTTCATTTTGATAACTATAGTAAATCTAAATCTACTTTACCTTCTCCATATAATCTACTAGCCTTAACGCATATTACCTTGATCACTAAAATGTATAATCATTTTTTCATAAGGGGTTAAAGTTATATAACTTTCTTACTAAAATTGGAATTGAGTGTAAATGGAGAGAGAAATGGTAAAATTTGTGTTAGTAAAATGTGTGAACAAAGGAGATCACGTGGGGAGGATAAGAAATCGAATTGATGGGTTCATGGGAATGCTCTTATCGCGGATCTTGCCTGTTTTGACCACTCTCTCTCTCCCTTTCTCCAATATTGTTACTTTTAAATTTTCGTTTAATAATTTTTATTTTATTTTATTACAATTCTCAAGATTAAAAAGAAAAACAAAACAATTATTGTTTTTGTGTTCACATGTGGTCTATAAATACATAGAAACCTCTCCAGACTCCAATCCAACTCCAAAATAGAAGCAATTCAGAGTTAACTACTTTCATCTTCTATCAAGAAAAGAAAAAAAAAAGCTTAAAAATGGCTTCATGGAAGAAAACAATCGCAACGCCATTCAAGAAAGCGGCGACGTTCTTTAACCAACCGCAGCAAACGCCGCACAACCGCCACGCAAACGCGAAGGCGAGAGAAGAACACGAGAGACGATCGGTGAAGGAGCTTCAAGGTGACGTCATGGCTTGTGGTTATGAAGATGTCCTCGTCATGTGGTCAATTCTTGACAAGTCAAACTCTTCAAACAATCTCTCTTCTTGATTCGTTTTTTCTTACAACGAAATTTGGGAAACCGTCTTTTTTTTTGCGTAATTACTTTACGTGAAATAGGAATTCGAATTTCTCTTTTTTTTTTTTTTTTTTATGTATATAGCTTGTATTAGCCCGCCATGTCTTTCTTCTTTCTCCTTATCTTCATGTGGTCGCGGCTTTTATTTTTCTTTCTTTTAATTTAGATTTTAGTGAATTTTTATCCGATGATAGTTTTGATTCGGATGTTATTAATCCCTGTGATGATCTAATCTAATTCACGGTGTGATTTTCCATTTGGTTTGGAAGAAATGAAATCTTTGAATGTTGGTCTTCAATTCCGGTTTCGTATGTATTTTTCTTTTTTTAGCCGTTTACGGAACCATATTTAAGCCAGATATAATAATCACGTTGAAATTGTAACCATTTTTTTATTAAAATTGTAACCAATTTTTATCGATCAAAAAAGAAAAGAAATAAATATAACCATTGGATAACAATGAATTCATTAAAAGATGTGTAGCTAATAAAACTTTGCATTATCTCAGTAACGGATCTCTATAGAAGTCTCGGGGACAATGTTATCCACACTCTTATCCTATAGTTATTCGGACACTCGACTTGAACTCACTGATTGCCAAAACTTTTTGAACTTTTACAGAATACAGAAATACCCCAGTGAAAAATAATATTTTAAAAATCTAACTCAGGTGGCCAAATTTTTTTTTTTTTTTGATTTACCGATTTTGGGAGTTGTATAAATGAACCATATCTAGATCAAAAGGTGATTCGATTTTTCGATCACGTGAACTTTCAGTATAGATCATGTTACATTTTTGCTACAACCAACAAAATATATATGTTTAGTATATTTTCTTATGAATTTCATTGCTGTGTTGGTTTCTTTGCTATCGGTTAATTCAGTTTAGAAGTAATCATACCAAATAAAAACAGATTGTTTTGGTTCAGTAAATTCCGGTTTACAAGCCATAACAATTAACTACAGATCTTATATTATAACCCTCTAAAATAGTAGAACATGTGACAAAAAAAAAGTTACCATATCAATACTCTTCACATAAGGATTGGTGGAAAAGAATATAGACAAAAGATTTACAAGAACTCAAAAAAATAATAAGAATTAGATGACAGCCCTTAAACTTAGGAAAACCCAATCATTGAACACAAAAAAAATATATAAAGAAGAGAGGAAGAAAAAAAAGTACAGCCGTATAAGGCAGAGTGTGAGGTAATGTGATGAATGATACGATGTGATTTGTATTAAAGTGAAAGTGGGACAACATGATTCCTATAACGTGCATTGTCTTCTCCATCATCCTCATTAACATCCCTAACATGTTCAAACAATCTGATCAGAGAGCTGGCCTCACTTCCTGCAAACCTACACATGGCCCCTTTGAAGGTCAAATCCATCTACATACATTTGGAATTTTATGTACCAGTTTAGTAATACCGGCTTTTCGATTACAAGACACAGACAACATAAGAGAGAGATGTATTTATAGCTTATATATGTGTCTAGAAACTATTAGTTTGATCAAGAATGATTGATCTCTATAAAACCATAAATCTAAAGTTTACTTTCAAGGTAAAATCTTGAGAGTTACATGGATCTATGTCAAGGTTGTTCTATAATAAGATCATATTGATATATTGTGGGTTTTATGGTTTTTAACCATGATACAGGCTTTATTTATAGAGTTTTTCTAGTATTTTTCGATTTTTTTTTAGTTTTAAACATGTCGAAGTAAGTTTGGAGCATAATTGGAGATTTTGGGGTATTTTGGAGCCAAGCAAAGATCAATTTCGTAAAAGATGATTTATTTGCCTTGGTGTCGCTCGACACCACTATTGGTGTCGCTCGACACCACTATTGCTGTCGGTCGAAACCACTATTGGTGTCGGTCGACAATGATTTCGTGAAAAAGGAAGACATGACTTTTTTCTAAGTTTTGAAGAATTTCTGCATTAGGCCCAAAAAATTTCAATATTTGCAAGGAGGCCCAACCTGTGTTTTTTGCTTTTATTAGGGTTTTCAGCTACTTGTTTTTGACTAACATTGATTTTTATTTTCTTCGAAACTTTGAGAGCTTTTTGGGGAGACAAATATGAGATTCTGTTTGTGAGAGAGAAGATTTTGAACTCCTGTTACTTAATCTATTTATTATTTTCTGCACTCTATTCAATCATGTTTATTGTTTCAATCTCCATGTCTGAGTAGTTTGTTTGTTAGGTTTAGGGTTCTCATATAAGATCTCTTTGAATGCTAGATTAATTGGTTGGTTAGAGTTCATAATCTGATGACTTCTTCACCATAGGTTGTCTTTAAAGATTATTCTGGACTGGCTATCTGGAACTTAGATCTTAGGTTAATCAATTAAACACGAAACTGTGATTGATAATTCAACAGAAGCTAGGGTGAGCAAAATAACTATCCACAAAGAAATTTGGTTTAGTTGTTTTGTGAACAAATCAAACATGCACTTAAAGCTTGGGGTTGTTTTGAAAATAAGGACGTTTTTAAGTTTTTATTTGAGAAAAGGGACGTTTTAAGTTTTAATTAGTCAGGGTAGGGACATACTTTCATAATGCCAAACTTACCCTTCTCTCTGAGAGAGAGAGAGAGAGAGACAGAGCAGTCTGTTCCTTAGAGAGAGACAGACGCAGAAAATACCGTGGGTCCCAGGCGTAGTCTACGTCCGCGCGCGTAACAGCCGGGAAGAGAGCACTCACACGCGCGATTGGATCGTTTTTTGGGCCTGATTTCGAATTTCGGAATGAAATTCCCAAAAACCACCTTACTGGGCCTCGGTTATGGGCCGGAAACTACCCAACTCATTACACGCAAAACTACCCTTCCCATTCTCTTTTTAATTTTGGCGGGAAAAATTGTGGTTAATTAGAGATAATGAAGATAAATTGGTTAAAATAAGAAACAAAGTACCCTAACCAAATTAGAAACCCTAGTTTCCCTTTCTAGAAGATGTTGAAATTGAAGGGGAAATTATGCGATGATCAAGAGGACAACAACCACGGTTAGTTACTTAATCCTATTATTGTACACCCATAGATTTGTCATTGTTATTTTTGAATTTTTTTTCGGACTGGTGTCCGCTATTTGCCAGTAGTTTTTTAGATATGTTGTTCGCGAATTGCAGTGGATGCGTTCATTCTTGTTATGGCGGGAACGTGGATAAGGTACTATACAGGAGAATGAGATTTCAAAATGGACATATCTCGTCGTGGAAGGTGCATAAGTTGCAAAGATGTGTCCGGACCAGATGATTTGAGAAATCTGATTGCGCATGAGTTCGGATTAGACCCGAGAGTTGTTTCGGTGGAGATTTCCTATTGGTTTGATGATGTTATAGCTGAGCTTAATGGTGATGGGAGTTGTCCATGTGTAATAGTTACTCCTCGAGAGTACAAATTCTTCCTTTCGCTGCATAAGTCTGACAAGTCTGTGAATTTATTTGTCACATTCAAGGAGTCAGTAAATGGTAAAATGGTGAGATTGAAACGGAAGGAAAGTCTTGAAGTTCAAATAGCGAGGGAACGGCGAAAGTCGTTAGGGCCAACAAACTTCATAGCCTCTTCTTCGGCAGAGTCTAGTCAACCCGATGATGAAGCAGATGATGAAGATATCGATGATTGTTTGCTGATAGCACATGCCGAGAAAGTAGAGGCAGAGGCCGCAATGAACACCTCCAAAGGTGTACAACTTGAAGCTGTCTCTGTTATCCATCCTCCATTGGGATTAAAAATGTCCCAGGAATCAGAAAAAGTAGAGGCTAAGGCCAGCACTAACACCTCTGTTAATGTAAAACCTGATGTTCCAAGTCACGCTGTCTCTGTTGACAACCCTGAGTTGGAATTAAAAATGTCCCAGGAATCAGACGAGGCGAGAGATTCGGAAGAGAAGGAAGCTGATGATGTTGGCGATGACGCACACGGCTCTGATGATGATTATGATCCGGATTATGATTTTGACTGGTGGAATGATTACGTACTAGCAGATGGTAAGGGTTTCCATTCTAAACCTGGATTTGGTGAGGATAAGGATGACTCTGGTAGTTCAGGGGGTTGTGGAAGTACTCGCGGAAGTGAGCCGAGTGATTCAAACCATATGGACAACTCCATTGTCTTAACGGAGAGTCCTATTCATTTTCCTGGAAGAAAGAGGACTGTATGTGAGAATGTTCTGGCTCCCCATGGAGATGATGATGATTTTGTGCAGACTCCGACAGGTGATGTCAGTTGGGGGCATCAGAATGGCGGTGCAGAGCTGAAGAAAGCGATTAAACGTACAGAACTATATGGATTTCCGGATGTGGCACCAGTCTCTGATGAAATGGGAGGGGATTTTGATGAACTTGATTTGTCAAATGAAGATGGAGAGATATGGGTTGGGAAAAAGTTCAGAAACAAGGAACACTTTAAAATCACGTTGGCCATCAATGCGCTGAAGAATGTAGTGACGTTCGAATTCAAAAAGCATGTGAAGAAGTACACAGTCTCCGAATGTCCATCAAAGATATGTGATTGGAGAGTGTTGGGGTGTCAAGTTGGCGAGTCTGCGTTGTATGAGGTGAGGAAGGCGTGTTTGAAGCATACATGCCACCCGGATACAAGAAAGAAATTTTCTAAACATGCTACTTCTAAAGTCATGGCGGCTCTGCTGAAGTCTAAGTATGAGAATGCAATAGTTGGGCCACGTGCGAGTCAGCTACCTGCGATTGTTCTCTCCGAATATAATATTACAGCCTCGTACTGGAAATGCTGGAAAGCTAAGGAGCTGGCTATATACTCTGCTCACGGAACAGAGGAGACTTCTTTCAAATTATTACAGATTTACCTCCATGTGCTTAAGTATGCTAACCCCGGCACCATAACGCATTTGTCAACCGAGAGCGAGAGAGATGAAAAAGATGGAAAATGTATTACCAGGTTTAAGTCCGTATTTATGGCATTGGCTGCGTGTATATCTGGATGGAAACATTTGAAACAAGTAGTTGTTGTTGATGGGACTCACCTGACTGGTAAGTATAAGGGTTGTCTATTAACGGCCAGTGGACAAGATTCTAATTACCAGGTATTTCCAATAGCGTTCGCCGTTGTCGATGCAGAGTCTGACAAGACGTGGAGGTGGTTCTTTGAGAAGTTGTTAAAAATTATTCCAGATTCCTCTGATCTTACTATTATCTCGGATAGGCACGGTGGAATTGCCAAAGCTAAAAAGAAATGGTATCCACAGTCACACCACGGTGCATGTCTTGTCCATATCCAGAGAAATGTTCACGGTAAATACAAAGGTTCCGGTCAAAAAGGGTTGGTCGGAAAGGCTGG